ACACTACTTGAAGGTTGCATATATTGAGAGATATGACAAACTTCAATCAGTGCAGCTAAGGTTGCACTACTTACATGTCTTTGGCGATGATAATTATGGAGGTTCTAGAGCTAAGCTCACTTCTGAATCCACCTTCCTTTGAGCCACTACCCCTACATATGTGTGTGTTGTGTGCCAACGTCTGTTAGCATGAAAGTCAAGAAAACCTATATATTATGATAGTGTTAACTCTGCAAACAACTCATCCAATCTGGCTTCTTCTTCAAGTCGGCAATTTAGACTGAGAAGTGACATTTCAACGGAATCTGTACTGCATTTCACATTGTACGAAGTGCAGTCAAGCGCTAAAGATGCCTTCTTAAGATGAGGAAGTTTGTAGTTGTTGCCTCCTTGCAAAACAAACGACAAGTCAAGCACTTTTTGCAAGGTCACAAATGTCCTCCCAAGAGTATCAAGAGGAAGTGCGACAAACGCATTTTCCACCGCATCAACCAGTTCATCGATATTCTTCGGAACCGATTGATAGTGCAGACTTTAAATACTGCTAAAAAATCCTAAATCTAAAACATTGAAATCTGGACTGTTCGGAGACTGTGATCGAATTCGAACGTCCCATCCATATTCGCGAGCCAAGTCGGTAAGGAGGCCATGGTCAATTCCTTGATGAGGCCCAGCATTGTCATGTTGAATAAACAACGGTCTCGCAGCGCCTTGGCGGGGAAACTTGGCAAATATCGCTGGTAAAACGCGGTCGGACAGAAAGCGCTGGTAAACAGCAGCATTTTACGGCAATTGCTCTTGTCTCCAGGGTGCCGCGGACGCGGTTCCGACTTGATCGAATCGCAGGTTCTTGGGCAACGAAGGGCCAGCATCCAAGCTTGCCATCAGACATCTCTCCGCGCTCATCATCCCACCGGGGCCTAGCGACAGCAACGAGGAACATAACTTTCGTTATGAACCGTTTGTTCTAGGTCGTCTGGTGGGGAGGCTCTTCATCGTGCCACACGTAGAACTTCGT